GGAGCACACTGCGCAGAGTTCTCCATGGGGGACCCATGGCTTCACAAGGAGTCGGAGATGCACATCAACTGCTTGGAATTAATAGCAGGCTCCTTTACCATCCGCAGCCTGGCCAAACACATGTCGAACTGTTGTATACTGCTACACATGGACAATATTTCAGCGGTGCAGTACATCAACCACCTAGGTGGAGCTCAATCTCAAGCACTCTCGGAAGCGACCAAAGACATTTACACCTTTTGTCTCTCCAGGAACATCACGCTGAGAGCGGAATACCTCCCGGGGACCTCCAACCTCACGGCGGATTGGTACTCATGCCACTGGAGGGACAACAGCGACTGGCGACTGGATGGGAAGGTCTTCAAGACTTTAGCTCAACACAGGGGCCACCCTACGGATAGATCTCTTTGCTTCGCGGACAAACCGTCCACTTCCCAGATTCTTCAGCTGGCTCCCGGATCCGTAAAGCGAGGCAGTGGACGCATTCCTCCAGACGTGGCCGACTCAGGGAGCCTATACGTTTCCACCCTTCTCCATGCTGGCGAGGGTCCTACACAAGATTCGGACACGCCAGACATCCCTGCTGCTGATCACACCCCTATGGCCAAGCCAAGTATGGTTCCCGGACCTACTGGAACTCTCGTGCGACCACCTGCTATAATTGCTGGACTTTCCACTCCTTTTGTCCTACTTGCAAGGAGAAATTCCTATGCTCATTCTCCAAGACCAACTCCACCTTGTGGCCTGGACAATTTCAGGGGATCTTGGGATGTCACTGGACTATCGCAGTCGACTAAGGACCTGCTCTGGGATTCATGGGCTCCGGATACTAGACAAGGCAGCCTGGAATGAATGGTCTAGCTGGAGTCTAGAGAGAGATTCAGATCCCTTTACGGCCACTGTTCCCGTTGTGTTGAATCTCCTATCGGCTATTTTTACGTCGGGTTGAATTTACTGTTCTGTTAATGTTACACGGTCAGCAATATCGGCAGCCCACGTCCCTATCCAAGCACGCCTGATAGGACAGGATCCGTTGGTTTGCCGACTCATGAGAGGTATGCGCTTGTCTCGTCCTCCTGGTCCGAAGTATTCACGTCTTTGGGACGTCAACTTGGTCTTGAATTTTCTGAGATTTGATTATTGGACTTATTCACTGGAATGTTAGTTCGCTTCAAAGAAAGAGGAAGTGGAAAGCACCACAGAGCTATTTATAGTAGTGACTCTTGGTTTAAAAGTATTGATTGATCTGTGCTGCTGGAGTTTTAAGTAAAGAAAGTTTATGCAAATATTTGCCTCCTGTCATTACTAAAACTAAGATTAAAGGTACACTACGTTAGCATAATCTACCATTATGGCATGCATATTTTTCCAAAACAATTTTATATGTGGGCAGTGCCACCACATGTGAGAGTATGTACCTGTTTGTCCAGAGCCACGTCAGCTTAAATTGGTGGATTGGCAATACATTTTTTTGAAGTCTAAACGGGGTCAAGTACCACCTATATATCACTTTGTAGTGGTTCTCCAGCTGAGCCGAGCACTGAGTTTTGTCCTTCAAATTTAAGGGAATGACCATCTAGTCATCTATTGGTAATACTGTCTGGAAATCCCTCTATAATGCTTCCATAAAATCTAATTTGGCTTTGGCCCTAGATTTTACCTAGGAGTAACACAATAAAATAATTTGTTTACATTTTTACATTTTAATTTTAAATAATTTTGAAATAAGTGATTTTAAGTAGCCTTGTAAAATTTTTACTTATATGTTTCCTAATTTGTATTTTGTATATAGTTTATTCTTTACAGCAGTATCACTGCTGGTAAATGCATGTTCTAGGTGTGCCCCAATTCCCCTTTTTTTCTACAAACATGCATACTGACATGCATACATACATAGATACACATTGCCATATAAGCGCACACATACAGGGTGGGCCAAAATTCAGAGTAGGATTTGACAGGTAAATAACTTTGTCAGTAGTTAATTTTTTTGTTACAGATATATTATATTTTATATATATATACACTGGCATACATACCGCGGTCGCAGGTGTCGCACCAGGGGGCCCGGCCGCCCTGCGACCTGGTCATCTCATATCACCGGGCGGGCCATCTCATATCACCGGGTGGGTCATCTCATATCACCCAGGAGCTGGCCATCTCATATCACCGGGCGGGCGGGCGGTGCGCGCGAGGGACTACTCTCCCCTGAGTGCTCTATGCCCAGCCGCCGGACAGCCCCACTGGACCCCAGGGAATCCCCTCAGCACTCCCAAAGATAGGGAGACTGGGGGATTAAATAAAAATAAAAAAACGTGTATGTGTGTTAGTGTGTGTGTGTGTTAGTGTTAGTTTTTGTGTGTCAGTGTGTGTGTCTGCTAATGAGTGTCAGTGAGTGTGTTAGTTTTTGTGTGTGTGTGTTACTGTGTGTTAGTTTGTGTGTGTCTGTTATTGAGTGTGTGTCTGCTAGTGAGTGTCAGTGTGTGTGTTAGTTTGTGTATCTGTGAGTATGTGTGTGTCTGTGAGTGTGTTACTGTGTGTCTGTTACTGAGTGTGTTAGTTTGTGTCTGTCTGTCTGTTAGAGTGTGTCTCTTAGTGAGTCTGTTTGGTGTCTCTTAACTAGTGTGTGTTTGTCAGTGAGAGTGTATGTTTTGTGAGTGTGTATGTGTGTCCGTTTGTCAGTGAGTGTGTATGTATGTATGTCTGTCAATAAATGTGTGTGTCTGTTAGCTAGTGTGTATGCGTCTGTTCATGAGAGTGTGTGTGTGTTTAAAACCCCTTCAGCACTTTCCTTTCTCCAGCGCCGGACTCCCTTGGCGCTTGGGTCCCTCCGCCCCGATCCGCCTCTCAGCACCGAATGCGCATGCGCGGCAAGAGCCACGCACGCATTCAAACTACCCATAGGAAAGCATTACTCAATGCTTTTCTATGAACGTCCAGCGGAATTGCGGAAGCGCCTCTAGCGGCTGTCAATGAGACAGCCACTAGAGGCTGGATTAACCCTCAGTGAAACATAGCAGTTTCTATATATATATATATATATATTGTAACAGAGTGTTGGGGATGGTGGTCAGGGGTGTATATCTGGCACCCAGACTTTTGCACAGCCACTATCCTGACATGTGGGTAAGCACATGCAGCCCCAGGGAAAGTTAAGTTTAAATTTAGTTTTTTTTCCCTCTTGTTATTTGGGTCCCTGGGGTGGAGTATTCGGAAGAGCAGGGTGGGCCGATTCTCCACCCACTGTCAGAGTGGCTGTGCATGAGTCCAGCCCAGGTTTCCCATAGAGTTCTGGCTCACTGCCTAACGAGGTCATTAGCCTCACCTGTAGGGGCTGTGAGCAGCTATATAACTGCAGTTAAAGCAGGGTGAAGTGAGGGAAGTGTTTTGAAGGAGAAAGAAGGTGTTTTGTGGAGAAAGAAGGTGTTTTGTGGAGAAAGAAGATTTGCTGATTCATTGTATCCTGTTACTTCACAACAACAGAAAATAAACAGGCCAGAGGCCTTTTTTGAAACTGGACTTTGTCTTGACCTGGTTTTCTTACCCTAGAGGGCTGTGCGGTTGCCAAAAGATCCTGGACAAACACACACAGGAAAGTAAGTTTGTCACATATGGTGGAGAATGCAGGCACTGCACTAAAGAAGCCTGTGGGTATTAACTGGAAGCCAAACAAGCCTGTAGAAATATGGAGGAAGTTGTGAAAGTCTTGTTGCAAACTACAGCTGCACAGCAAAAGGCTACAGCCGTACAGCAGGAGGCTACAGCTGCACAACAGGAAAATATTACAGCCCTACAGCAACTGGTAATTACGCAAAAGGCCAACACAGATGCGTTTATCCAGCAGGTTATGGCAGCCCAAGCTGAGGCAAACCGCCTGCTCAGAGAGGAGCAACATCAGGCCACCAGTATGATACAGAAGGAGATACAGGCTTTGACCAAAGGACTGACCAGAGTCTCGGATGGGACGCAGTCCGAGGTTAAAATGATCAGAGCCAGCCGTTACCTGCAGAAGATGACACCTACAGATGATGTGGAAGCATACCTGCTAGCTTTTAAGAGGACAGCTGAGAGAGAAGAGTGGCCGGTGAGTGAGTGGGCAAGCATACTGGCACCTTTTCTTATTGGAGAACCCCAGAAGGCATTCTATGACCTGGAACCAGCACAGGCAGGGGTCTACTCCAAACTGAAGGCTGAGATCCTTGCACGACTTGGTGTGACTAGGGCAGTTCGTGCCCAAAGATTTCATGCCTGGTCTTTCAACCAAGAGAAACCTATCCGCTCCCAGATGTTTGACCTGATACATCTTGCTAGAAAGTGGTTACAACCAGAAATAAATACGGCAAGCCATATCATGGAACTTCTTGTGATGGACAGATTCCTGCGGGGCTTGCCTGCTTCATTGCGTCGATGGGTCAGTCAGAGCGATCCACAAACAGCTGATGAGTTAATTGGTTTGGTGGAAAGATATGTTGCTGCAGATGACAGACAGTGGCTCAACAACACAAAGGCTAAGCAGAGAGTTAAGACTCCAGATGCTGAAAGACCTGGTAAGAATTTTCAAGGTTTCAGAGACACAGAGGAACAAGAGACATATTCTCAGAGACCCCATATGCTTTTGCCTAGAAATGTTAATCCTGGAAAAGGGTCTAGGTGGGGACAGTTGACGATATTAAATGCTTCCGGTGTAATGAACCTGGACATAAAGCTAGAGACTGTCCCTTGATTGATGAACCTATGCAATGCAATATGATTAATCAGGATGTACAATTGTCTTGTTTGCTGAATTGTATGGAATCTGCTGTTGCCACAGATATGTTCCATAAGGGTGAATGGGAAAGAGGTTAGAGCTCTATTAGACTCCGGAAGTATGGCGACATTGATAGCAAAATGCCTTGTACCTGAAGCCGATGTTGATGCATTGCAGAAAATTGGTATAATTTGTGTTCATGGTGACAAACGTGAATATCCTACAGTTTTGCTAAAATTTGAAAGCCTTTTTGGTACTGTGAATCATAGAGTGGGGGTAGTGGACAAACTGGCTTATGATGTGGTGTTGGGAAGGGATTTCCCCCAATTTTTAGACTTGTGGGGGTCTCCAGGAAAAGTAGCTCATGATTGTATAACAAATGATGATGATTCTGGAAATGTGTTCCCTTTTTCTGACATAGAATGGGAAGGACTGGGCATAAGACCAGAGAAGGCTGAAGCCTCAAGTCACAGGCCAGCTTTAGTAGGAGATGACCAGGGCCACGATAGTCAGGAGTCCGATAACGATCAGGATCAAGGCATTAACTTCCCTGAATTAGAAGTCAGTCCTGTTAACTTCAGGAAAGCGCAATGGGAAGACCCCACTCTTGCAGAGGCCCGTAAAATATCCAGGTTTCAACTGATGATCCAGTACAACTAGATAGAGCCCCTTCTTTTCCTTACTTTGAGGTACAGAATGATTTGATATACAGAGTAGAGAAAAAGGGGATGGATGTTGTAAAACAACTACTTGTTCCTAAGCCTTTCAGACATACAGTCCTAAATCTTGCACACAGCCATATACTGGGGGGACATTTAGGCATAGAAAAGACAAAAGAAAGAGTCTTACAGAGGTTTTATTGGCCTGGGGTATTTGCTTCAGTTGCGAATTATTGTTCTTCTTGTCCTGAATGCCAACACACCGCCCCTTTTAAGGCATACCGCAGTCCTCTGGTACCATTGCCTATAATAGAAATACCCTTTGAAAGGATTGCAATGGACTTGGTAGGTCCTCTGGTAAAGTCTGCAAGGGGGCATCAGTATATATTGGTGATCCTGGACTATGCTACCAAGTACCCGGAAGCAGTACCCCTACGTAACACATCTGCAAAGACAATAGCGAGAGAACTCATGCTCCTGTTTAGCCGGGTGGGCATACCAAAAGAAATTTTGACAGATCAGGGTACACCATTTATGTCTAAAGTTACAAAGGAGTTATGCAAACTACTTCAAATTAAACATCTTAGGACCTCTGTTTACCATCCCCAGACAGACGGACTGGTAGAACGGTTTAACAAGACCTTAAAAAGTATGTTACGGAAAGTAATTGACAAAGATGGTAAGAATTGGGACTGCTTACTACCCTATCTAATGTTCTCCATAAGGGAGGTGCCACAAGCTTCTACGGGCTTGTCTCCTTTTGAGCTTCTATATGCCCATCATCCCAGAGGTCTGCTAGATATAGCAAAAGAAACCTGGGAACAGGAGTCCAATCCGTACCGTAGTGTAATTGAGCACATAGCTCAAATGCAAGATAGGATGGCGGCTGTCATGCCAATAGTTAAAGAACATATGCAGAAAGCCCAAGAGGCCCAGAAAAACAGTCATAATAAAAATGCCAGACTGAGAGTTTTTCACCCAGGAGACAGGGTGCTTGTTTTGGTCCCTACAGTAGAAAATAAATTTCTAGCATCTTGGCATGGCCCGTATGAGGTTATTGAACAGGTTGGGGAAGTTAATTATAAAGTGAGACAACCCAATAGGAGAAAACACGAGCAAATATATCATATAAATTTACTAAAACCCTGGAAGGACAGAGAGGTCTTAACTACTTCAATTATCACTAATAAGACTGGTAGTGAACTTGAAGTAAACATACCAGACACCCTGTCCCCACACCAGAAACAGGAAGTAAGGGACTTTATTGGTAGAAACCGGGATGTATTTTCTGTAGTTCCTGGCAGGACTAACGTTATCAAGCATGATATCATTACAGAACCAGGGGTGAAGATAAGTCTTAAACCGTACAGAATCCCAGAAGCACAGAAAGAGGCGGTAGCTGCAGAAATTAAGAAAATGTTAGCTCTTGATATTATTGAGGAATCACAAAGTGAGTGGAACAGCCCTATAGTACTGGTGCCAAAACCTGATGGTTCATTAAGATTTTGTAATGATTTTCGTAAATTAAATAGTGTGTCAAAGTTTGATGCTTATCCAATGCCTAGGGTTGATGAACTGATAGAGAGACTGGGTAAGGCTCGGTACCTGACTACTTTAGACCTGACGAAGGGTTATTGGCAAGTACCTCTTACAGACAGAGCAAAAGAAAAGACAGCTATTTCGACATCAGGGGGATTATTCCAATACAAGGTGCTACCATTTGGGTTACATGGGGCCCCTGCCACTTTTCAAAGACTGATTGATAGGATTTTGAAGCCGTTATGCAGCCGCATACCTAGATGACATAGTCATTCACAGTCCTGACTGGGCTTCACATCTTCCCAAAGTGCAGGCAGTACTGGACTCTATCCGCCTAGCTGGTTTAACTGCTAACCCATATAAGTGTACTATAGGTTTGGAAGAGGCAAAATATCTGGGTTATTCGATTGGGAGAGGACTAGTTAAGCCCCAAACAGCAAAAGTGGAGGCCATACAAAATTGGCCACGCCCCCTCACTAAAAAGCAAGTTAGGACTTTTTTAGGACTTATTGGGTATTACAGGCGATTTATTCCTAGTTTTGCTACATTAGCAGCTCCTTTAACGGATCTCACAAAAGGTAAAGCCCCGCTAGTGGTTAAGTGGTCAGTAGAGGCAGAAAAATCGTTTGTAACTTTGAAAGAGGCTTTGTGCACCCAACCGGTTCTGGTAACCCCGGATTTCACTAAAGAGTTTATTGTCCAAACCGATACATCAGAGCTTGGGTTAGGGGCAGTTCTGTCTCAGGAAATTCAGGGTGAAGAACACCCAGTGTTTTATTTAAGTAGGAAGCTGACTCCCGCTGAGAAAAATTATTCTATAGTGGAAAAGGAATGCCTTGCCATAAAATGGGCCTTAGACTCATTGAAATATTATCTGCTGGGTAGAAAATTTAGGTTGGTCACAGACCATGCCCCTTAACCTGGATGAGTCAAAACAAAGATAATAATGCCAGGGTGACAAGGTGGTTCCTCAGTTTACAACCATTTCATTTTACAGTTGAACATAGGCCGGGGTCTAAACATGGAAATGCTGACAGTTTGTCGCGAGAAAATTTGTTTTCTGTGGTCGCTCACCCCACTAGGTCTGAGCTGGGGGGGAGGATATGTAACAGAGTGTTGGGGATGGTGGTCAGGGGTGTATATCTGGCACCCAGACTTTTGCACAGCCACTATCCTGACATGTGGTAAGCACATGCAGCCCCAGGGAAAGTTAAGTTTAAATTTAGTTTTTTTTCCTCTTGTTATTTGGGTCCCTGGGGTGGAGTATTCGGAAGAGCAGGGTGGGCCGATTCTCCACCCACTGTCAGAGTGGTTGTGCATGAGTCCAGCCCAGGTTTCCCATAGAGTTCTGGCTCACTGCCTAACGAGGTCATTAGCCTCACCTGTAGGGGCTGTGAGCAGCTATATAACTGCAGTTAAAGCAGGGTGAAGTGAGGGAAGTGTTTTGGAGGAGAAAGAAGGTGTTTTGTGGAGAAAGAAGATTTGCTGATTCATTGTATCCTGTTACTTCACAACAACAGAAAATAAACAGGCCAGAGGCCTTTTTTTGAAACTGGACTTTGTCTTGACCTGGTTTTCTTACCCTAGAGGGCTGTGCAGTTGCCAAAAGATCCTGGACAAACACACACAGGAAAGTAAGTTTGTCACAATATATATATATATATATATATAGATATAGATATAGATATATATATATATATATATAGATATAGATATATAGATATAGATATATATATCTATATATATATATATACAAATACACTATACTATTATAACTGAGTCTACATATTTTAACTGAGTCTTGGGACATTCATCATGAGTAAGTTTACAAAGGAACAATGAGAAAAAATAGTGGATTTTATTTTCAAAACTGAGACAACTGTTCGGCAAGCGGAAAATTTTTACAAAATTCCCAGATAAATTGGCCGCAATCTCATCATTGAGTAAACTTTGACCCTGTACCTCACAGTCAGCAGACACATTCCACAAATCAGCAGCAGACCCTCCCTCCCACCTCCTGGACAGCTCACTAAGAATGCAGCTTCACAATGGATGCTGTCCAGGAGGTGGGAGGGTCTGGGAGGGAGGGTCTGCTGCTGATTGGCTGGAATGTGTCTGCTGACTGTGAGGTACAGGGTCAAAGTTTACTCAATGATGAGTCCGTGGCGAACCGTTCGTGGCGAACCGTTCGGCGAACAGTTCGGGACATCACTACTCTAGTTTAACCATCCTCCTTTTTGCCGACCTTCTTGCTGGAGGAGGGTAGCTCCCTTCGGTTCAGTGCGGCTGCATGCCCTGCTTGGCTTTCCTTGCCCTCCCACCCATTTTCTGTTTCACACTAGGAGGAAGTGATCTGATATGCAATAGGGATTGTCTATACAGCTCTTTAAGGACAGCTTCAGAAACAGAAGTTGGCCCAAGCTATGTCTATCCCCCCTAGTCAGACGCCATAGTGCTAGTAGAACCCAGGGCACAGTCGGATCCATAATGGAGAACCAGTTTTAACCCCTTGATAGAGGCCCCATACTCTCACCACATTC